TTATTTTCTTTAGCTTGAACAAAGCCTCCCTATTTATTTTCTCTGGCCCCAGGGGTTAATAATTTATTTTCTTCAGCCTCAAGAAGGTTGCCTTCATTTATTTTCCACAGATCAAGGAAGAAACTTTTTAGATGCAGATGATATGGTAGCACTGACCATAGAAGCTGAGGGACAGAGAAAGTATGAAAGTTTATTCCTCAGTCCTTGTTATGCAGTTTTCTACATTTGACAGCACACATTAGGTTTAATTGTGTGTAGTGATGTAGGCAGCTGCGATTATGGATTCCCATGACAATGTAATAAATTGCCACTTGTTTTGAAGATTGCATGTTGGTATGTTAGAGCTGGCTTGCCCTGGCTTGTGAAACTTGATTGTGTGTACCTATTCTCACTTCCACACTCATGTTGAAATCAACCATTATGGGAGCATTTACACCACAGAAGTTGACAAATGTCATAAATCAGATCGTTCTTTTGTTTACAGTGCTAATTATTAAACATGTACTAGCACAGTATTCTCTCTCTTAACATACACATGTAGGTGTATATATAACAAAATCGAACACCTTTATTCTGTTTGTGTTTGCATCAGAGATTAAAGTCATAGCTGTCTTCACAGAATTTTTGTTTTTGTATTTCATCACTCACCCAGAAGTATTGACTCAGAAACTTATATTGGTCATGAAGTGTATAGACTTTGCTCCTCTCTCTGGTCGTTAATTGGCCGATTTTTATATTTGTTTTTAGTTGCTAAGATTTTTATTGTTAGATCTTAAAATATCCTTATTTGTTTAGCACAAATGTCTCCAAACATCCATTCAACAGAGAATCCCCAAATCCATCTATTTTTTTACTCTCCCCATCTTGTTTTTTTTTCCTGGCAACCAGCCCAGCTTCTGCAGTAACCTCAGATAAGGAGACAAGATCTTCAGAGGCAGATAAACAATAGTTGTATTTATGGCTGAAATGAAATAAATTATATAGAGAAAATAAAACTTCTAAATAATAATATTTGCCTTGCAGATGTATCTAGAAAACTTAAATTTCATGTCCAACTAGTATATTTGATAAGTGACTTATAACCATGCCATGCCACTTACCGGAGAGAGTTGAATGAATGGAAATATTCAGATGACATGAAGATGTCAATCCAGTGTCTCTCTAACCATTATAAGCTGGATATGGGAAATTTATTTAAAAATGATATAGATTGTACTGGAATATAGGGAAAATAGTTGTTAATGTTTTATCTGCTCTTTTCTTTTTTTTTTCAAGATAAAGTTTCACTCTTGTTGCCCAGGCTGGAGTACAATGGCATGGTCTTGGCTCACTGCAACCTTTGCCTCCCAGGTTCAAGGGATTCTCCTGTCTCAGCCTCCCAAGTAGCTGGGATTACAGGTGCACCACCACCACACCTAGCTAATTTTTGTATTTTTCATTGAGACAAGTTTTCACCGTGTTGGCCAGGCTGGTCTCGAACTGCTGACCTCAAGTGATCCATCTGCCTTGGCCTCCCAAAGTGCTGGGATTACAGACATGAGCCACCACACCCAGACAACAGATTTTGGCATTATTTAATTCTTGCTAAATATTAGCAAAAAAAGAACCACGTAAAATATAAAATCATCTCCTTAACAAACATAATGCTAAAATGGAAGGTCTGTGGATTTGATATAAGTAGTGAATATTACCCAATATTAGTAAGAATTTAAGTGAATGGACACCTTCGTGTATTGCTGGTAGGTGATGAAACAGAGATATTTTGGCAATGCACACCAAAATCTTAAACATTGGCAACTTTGGTACCTAAGGGAGAGTATTGGTGTACATGAAAATTTAGATGTAGAGATATTGACAGAAGTATTTTAGGACATCCAAGGAGGGAATAATATATGTGTCAAAAAATAGATAACCATTCAATAATGATATAATAATTAATTGACATGATGCTACTTACGAGCTGTTTGGAGTTCAGCAGCATAGATCCCTCTGAGTCTATCTCTTATTTGTAAAATAAGTAAAATATTAGCAGTTAATATTTATATAGTGCTGATTATATGCAGCCATGGTTCTAAATATTTTACATATATTATCTCATTTACTACTCACTAAAACTTTATGAGGTAAGTATTTGTACCATAAGCTCTAGAGAATGAGATACTTGCCCAAGATGACAAAGCTTGTAAGTGGCCTAGCTAGGCCATGAACTCGGACCATCCGGCTCTGCCTCCTTCTTATGCTGCTAACTTTCCCTATGTACTTCACATAACTAGAAGGAGTACATGAGATAAGACTATAGAAAGTCCAACATTTGGTAAGTGCTAATAGTACTTTCCATTAAAAAAAAGAAGAAAGTAAAAGCAGGCCAGTCACAGTGGCTCATGTCTGTAATCCCAGCACTTTGGGAGGCCGAAGCGGGCAGATCACGGGGTCAGGAGATCAAGACTATCCTGGCCATCATGGTGAAACCCTGTCTCTATAAAATACGAAAAATTAGCTGGGTGTGGTGGCGGGCGCCTGTAGTCCAGCTACTCAAGAGGCTGAGGCAGGAGAATCACTTGAGCCTGGAAGGTGGAAGTTGCAGTGAGCCAAGATCCCACCACTGAATTCCAGCCTGTTGACAGAGCAAGACTTTGTTTCAAAAAAAAAAAAAAAAAAAAAAAAAGCAAAGGTACTATGAACTAGTTAAAAACCTGGTCAAGTACAAAGACAGAGATCAGAGGCAGTACAATTGCAAAGGGGATTTGAGTAAATTGGAAAGTTCTTCTATTAATTATGTAATTTACATAAACAGCCCCAGCACAGTTCTCTTAGACAGACTTGGAATTGTCTTAGATATAATGTAAAGCCTTGCTACAGCTCTCGAATTGTAAAACTTTTGAGGAATAGCAAGAAAGAACAGAAATGACTAGAGTACCAGAAAGAGGGAAACAAGAAAAGTGCTGTATAGCTGAGGCTAAAAGAATTGTACTTGAAGAAATTACAGAGCCATTGGCTGTTTTCTATGAAAAGTAAAACAGCAGCTAGGGAGGCAAACCGAAGATGCCCGTGAGTAGGAATTGCAGGATGTTGCTGATTCATTGGAGGCAATACAAGAAGTTCCAGAGCAGAGTCAGGAAATCTGGTATGAGATTGACTTCCCTGTATTTCAGCACTACTACACTATTTGATACAGTGTTGCTATTCCGTAAGTGCCCATAAAAAGAAAAGAAAAAAAGAGACCAAATTAATTATGTTGCACAACCATTCTCTACTGAGCTTTTACTAATACATGATTCTCGATCCTACAATTAGCACTTAACCAACACTAAATTTATAATTTAGACTTCTCGTGCATAATAGAAACTCTTTAAATTATTCACATATTATGTTACTTGGGTTCTAGATGGATTTTACTCAACTTGATCTTTATTTAAATTGAAAGTTTTGGTGTGTACCTACACAAAGGCATTTTATTTTATTTTGTTAATGATCACAAAGAGGCCACATTTTTAAAACATTGACAACTCAATCTCTACAAGCATACAGTATTGCACAAATTATAAGTGGATACATATATAAATGATACCATTATATTAATGATATAAACTCATGAGCATTTAATTAAAACTACCACTCTAGGTTTTGATGTGTTTTGTGCCAACTACTTCAGTAAATAAAAGAAACATAAAGGAACTCATCCACTTGAATTAATAAGAATCAGCTTTCAAAAAATGCACATAGTTCATCTCATAGAATAGTTAATATGTCAAACCCAGGATAATCAGTAATTAAATGACAAAAGGAACACTTTTAAAGAAAAGTGGATGATATAAATGTTAGGTTGAAAAGTTGTTTAAGACTTTAGCAACTGGACTGAGTAACCAGAAAGTGTATGCCTATTCAGAATTTTAAGAAAAATCCCATGTTCTCCTTCACAATTAGGACCACATTCCAAAAGCATAATTCTGGGTTACTATAATATCTTCTCTGCTACAAACAATTATTTAAAAGGTTAAGGAAACAAGATGGTAACTCACATAAAAGTGTTTTAAAGTATGCCTCCCACTCAAAATGAAATAAAAATAATATTATCTCCATCAAATTATAAAGAAAATCTACGTAAATGTTGACTAGATAAAGAAGTCAGAACATTTGCCTTCACTGACTGCCTCTGAGGGCAGAGCATGTGCGTCACTAACAACGAAGTGGAGATAGGGGTAAGGCCCCAGCTCTCCGCCTGTGGAGTGGGGGTGAATGGGAGCCTTTTGGCTTCCCTGGGGTTTTGTGTCCTCACATACAGAATTGAGGGAGATGGGCTAGATGGCTTTTAAGAGACCCTCAACTAACAGAATCAAAGTCAGCTTGAGATTCCATGTCTGAGCAGACATAGGGTGGCAAAAGAAATAGATTTAAAAACAGGTGGATTAAGTTTTTCTTACCTTTTGATGCCATCACTCAGAACTAATCTGTACTATAGTTCAAGAAGATCCGTGCCTGGTACCATTAAGGGTACGCAATGAGGCATCTGACAATGAATTTTTGATGAAAAGGTGAAAAGGCTATGTTAAGTTTGGGTGGAAAAACAATGTACCACCGTGTTGCTGCCAGCAGTCAGGATGTCCTGTCTCTGATTTTAGGAGTTGCCAATCTGGTTGGAGAAATGCTGACAGAGATGATGTGTGTTCAAGACAGTCAGTGGAGATCTAATGAGTGCATGTGGTTCAGGAAATGGATAAACAGGTGCCCAGGAAGGCAACTTTGATGAAACAGGTTCTAAAACAAATGATGCAAGAGAGTTAAATGATCCTAAGAGAGTGATGGCTTCTCACTTTCTGTCCCCTACAGAGAATACAAATATCTGGAATCTAACATACTGGCTTCATTTTCAAAACGCATCACTTTATTTTCCTTACAAGGCAGCCACACATTAAGCATGTGACAGTCACAGGATTTCTTCAGTAAACCCCAAGGCTTCCACCAGCTTTCCTGGAGTCTATGGCTAGAACAGTCCTGAGATGTCAAATATTAAAACTTTCTCCACAGCCACAAGTTCCTTTCATGTTTGGATTATTGGACACAAACTCACTGGATAATTTGTCTTCAACGTAGTCTATTTCTGTTCCTAAAAGTGTTAGCTGTGCTTTCTTTTCAATGAATATTCTGATTCCATCTTGTGTAACTTCCTCAAAATCTCCTCTTGTCTTTGTATAGAGTATAAGAAAGGACATTATAGCCCTGGTCCGAACACCAGCTTTTACACCTCTATGCTCAGACTTAGCTTTAAGAAATTGTTTTATGTTGCTTACTGCTGAAGGTGTCAGGGTGAGGGTGGCCTGGGTGGGCTGCAGCTTCCTCTTACTCACAGCCCAGACAGTTGCCCCGACTGAGGAAGTGTGTCATCTTCGCTGTCCCAGTGCCCCAGTGCCTTGGGCCAGAGCTCCACCGCCTTAGCCTCTCTCCATGGACATGGTGGGCACATTGACACAAGGCATTTTGTACATACATATAGATTTTTCCATAGGATAATTCAGCCCTAAAAGAAAGCCAATATTTATTAGCCATCAATACCAGTGTGTTTTTTCCTCTTTCAAAAATGTATGTCCTATTAGTAATATTGATAGACTGATTGATTGATTGATTGAGATGGAGTCTTGCTGTGTCTCCCAGACTGGAGTGCAATGGTGTGATCTCTCTGCACACTGCAAACTCCATCTCCCAGGTTCAAATAATTCTCATGCCTCAGCCTCCTGAGTAGCTGGGATTACAGGCACCTGCCACCACTCCCGGCTACTTTTTGTATTTTTAGTAGGGGCGGAGTTTCACCATGTTGGCCAAGCTGGTCTCGAACTCCTGAGCTCAAGTGATCAGCCCACTTCAGCCTCCCAAATGCTGCGATAACAGGTGCCACGCCCAGCCAGATAAGATACTTTTTAAAAACCTGTGTGAAGACACTGGAAAGCTACTAGGGAAGTGAGTACTTGAAGGACTGAGATCCTGGAATAAAGGGAAATCCAAAGACTTGGGCCTGACATTTAGCCCTACTTTCTCCTTGACACACTTGCAAATGCTAAAGCAATGCCCTGAGAGACTGAGCCCTGACTAAAAGAATGAAAAGCTGAGCAAGTGTTAAGCAACCTCATGGGGCTGGGAGGAAAAAAAAAAATGGATTCTGAGACCCATCAAAGAGGAGTTAAGGTAAAAACAAAGTTTTCAGTTGAGATGCCTAAAAGACCACTGCTTAAAGTGAAATAAATAAGAAATAAACCAGCCATGGCAATAAGTGAAACCTGCCTCTCAATCAATTCAATCTCGCTGTATTAAGATGATCAGTTTCTACCCTAATCTCCTGTTAGTAGTAAAAGTAAATGCTGTTTGGAAGAAGTATCATCATTCAGAACTTCCAGTCATCTCTTTGTTTATGCCGAATAACTAGAGTTCTATTTTTAAAAACTGGCAGGCAGGTAAAAGATAAGTATTGGCTGAAAAATCTAGAGAAAAGTCAGAAATTGGTTACCAGTCCACAGGAAATTCAGATACAGACTTTGATAACTAGAATTAATGTGGGCAAGAAATTAATGAAAAATTTATAATTTTAGCAGAGCAAGTGAAACTATAATAAAAATCAAATATGAATTCTGGAAGTAGAAAATAAATACAATCAAGTATACAAAAGACACAGTTTAAGAAAGGATTAATGATTTACAATGGGGGCATAGAAAAGTATATCTAGAATGAATAAAGGAAAAATCCAAAGGATAGATAATAAAACAAGACTATAAGACATATACGGCACAGAGTGAAATGATCTAACATATATGTAATTGGAGTTATAGTGGAGAGGAAAAAGAGAATGGGACAGACTTATTATTCTGTAGTAATTGAAGAGGTAATGCTCTAGAGTTTCCCAAAATAGATAGAAAAAATTGGGCCCAACATTAACAAAACTTTATGAAATCCAGGCAAGATAAATACAAAAAAGGAAAACCCACCAAAAAGCAAAACAAAGCAAAAAACCCAAATACAGGTACGTCTTAGAACCTTCTGAAAACCTAAAACAAAAAATAATAATAATAATAATAATTTAAAAAATAGCCACAGTAGGCCAGGCACAGTGGCTCATGCCTGTAATCTCAGCACTTTGGGAGACTGAGGCAGGAGAATCACTTGAGCCCAAGAGTTCAAGACCAGCCTGGGCAACATAGGGAGATCCTATATCTACCAAAAATAAATAAATAAATAAATATCTGAGAGTAGTGGTGCATGCCTGTTTTCTCAGCTACTCAGGAGGCTGAGGTGAGAGAATCACTTGAGTCCAGGAAGTTGAGGCTGCAGTGAGCTGTGATCACTCCACTGCACTCCAGCCTGTATGACACAATAAGCCCCTGTCTCAAAAATAAATAAATGGCCAGAGTTAAAAAGATTACCTTTAAGAAAATGAAACAGATGAAGTTAACCAAGAAATAGACTTGGAATTCAAGATACATGTGATCTAGCCAGGCAGATTGATGAAGGGTACTCCAAGGTTTTTACTGAAAGAATAAACTCAGTGTATTAGCTGCATCCTGACCTAGAAATTAACTTGTCCAGAGTAGGGAATAATATAGTAGATATCTAACATGTTGAAAGTTTTGATGTAGCTGTCTTCTGTAGTTAATAGATGACAATAGGAAATGCAGACTTAGGCTTTCTCATTTCAATGGGAAATAATAGGATTCTTGAATAATAATAAAGAGTGGTGGTGTGTAACCATCAATGATTACACTGGTGGTGTGTAACCATCAGAGACACAGTGGGGACATCATTTACTTCAATACGTTCTGGGAGTGTAGGGTTTTATTTTATTTTCCACTTCTAGAATTTGTGTTTGATTATTATTATAGATTTATGTTCTCTGCTGAAATTATACATCTTTCATTAATTTATTACTCATATGAATCCTAGTTATTAAAATCTGTGTCTGATACCACCAATATCTAAACTTCCTACAAATTGGTTACTATTTTCAGAGTGTTTCAACCTACAGAGGTCTTAGAATGGCTAACTGATCACAGATTTCCTAAAAACTAAATAGATGGGCCTATCAAAGGACTATTTGACAATTTAAGTAGAATAATTTTAGCTTGAGTAAGCAGAAACCTGGCTTGAGTCACTGCAGAGGAAATTAATGGACTCTTACCTACACTGAAGGTCTCTTTCTCAAAGAAACTGGTCTCCTTGTCAAATGAGGGACTCTGTTTCAATGGCCTGCTTAGGTTTTTTTGTTTTGTTTTGTTTTTCTGTACCATATACCTTTGTCAGTTTGGGCTGCAATAACAGCATACTATAGAATGGGTGGTTCAAACAAAAAGCATTTGTCTCACACAATTCTGGAAGCCGAAAGTCTAAGATCAGGTGCCAGATGGTCAGGTTTTCGGTGTATCTTCAACATGAACTTCCCTAGTGAGTGCATGTGGAGAGAGTGGTTGCTCTAGCCTCTTTCTCTTATATGGACACTAATTCCATTCTGGGGTCTCCACCTTTATGACCTAATTACTTTTTGAAGTTTCCACCCCCAAGTACTATCCTACTTGGGGTTAGGGTTTTAACATATAAATTTTAAAGAGGATAAAAACGTGCAGTCCATTAAACCATAAATCACAGATCTATATTGCTATTCTCCAGCAATGCCTTCTCCAGAAGGGGAGCTCTGAAGCACTAAGAGACATTGCCATCCAAACTGGCCATAGTTCACTGAGTATTATCTCATCCACTGGACCAAAAATTAGAAATGCACAGCTGTGTTTCCTTACAAAATGGAAAAGGTATATAGGGCTGAGCAAGTATAGGCAAGGAACAAGAGGATACTCTTAATCTTTAAGTGTCCTCTTACTGCCCCTCCAGATCTCCTTTTCACCATTATCAACTTCTTCTATGCATGCCCTGGAATGGTCTTTCACTTAGGTTTGGCCAACAGGAGACACTAGCAAAAGATCAGAGGATGGAAATAGACTGAGGCTTGGTTGTTCGCTGGCTCCCTTTCTGCTGGTCTGCTGATTGGCGATGGCTGTCCTCTTTGAGAGGTCAAACTTCCTGCCAGGAAGCCCTCTCCTATAGCTACTAAGTTAATGGTTCTATTCCCAGTTTCCATGTGCCCTTCCCTTTGACCCTTCAGGCCTAGGAAGGTCAAGGATCCCGGGTTTCTGGCAAAGTGATGTTCTCTGTCCCTACTAATTTTCTTTAACCCTGTTCATACCCTTGAGCGTAGTCCCTTTATTAAAATTTATTTAATTACCTCATTTGTCAGTACCATCTGTTTCCTGTCAAGACCCTTCCTGATATAATTTCTAATTTAAAATGCAAACTTGATCATGGTATTTAATTATCATGTATATGAGTCTATTTCTGGACTCTAGTCTCTTCACTGGTGTGCTTAAGTGTTCTTGCACCAATAACATATTGTTCTAATGAATCTAGTATACTATATAGTGTAGTTTTATATGTGATGGGGCAGCAGTTTTTAAACATTTTGGCCTCAGGACCCCCTTGTAGTCTTCAAAATTATTGCGGAGTCCAAAGAGCTCTTGTTTTTGAGAGACAAATTGATCAAGATTTCCAATATTAGAATTATACTGGTGACGTTAAAAAATATTTAATTATATGTATAAATAACAATAATAAATTTATTATGATTTAACATAGCTTATGAAAAAACAAGTGTATTTTCCAAAAATTTGAATGTGTTTTATTGTTTTAAATTTTTTCAAATCCTTTTAATATTTGGCTTAATAGGGAACATTTGTATTTTAACATATGTATTTACATTAAATTGGTTGCAATATATTGTTTTGCTTGAACTATATGAAGAAAATTTCGCTTCCTAATGATATGGAGTTGAAAAAGGAAAGAATATTTTAGTAGCCTTTCCAAATAATTGTTGATTTTCTTTTATCTTATACCCAACTGTGACAAACAACAGTATCTCAAAGGTCATTTGTAATGTAGAATATGAAGCCACATCAATAAGTTTCTTGTATTTAAAATCCATTGGTCTATCTTTCACTCAGAGTGGATCTTAGATACAAACATGGATTTGTAGCATCATGCATTGGTCATTTGGAAAATATTTATTTCCTGAGGTATGCAAATCTTAAAAATGTCAAGGCAGTAGACAATGTGAAAAATTATAGTTAATATAACCATGCATGTTAGTCATCAGAAAAGACTCAGCTATTGGGAAGCTCCTGAACTCAGAGTGGCAGATACAGGTTTTCCAAAATTTTTCTTTTCACATGAAAGCTAAAATTATATCATTGACAACAAATCATGACAGCTATATTCTTGATGTGACAGTCTCACTTCATTTATTTCTGAGAGTGTATCTGCCAAATATCCCAGGCCTGAATAATCA